GTTAAGTTTTGTAAGATCGAATTCGATTCTTATGTGCATATTGCTTACTGTATGCTCGCTATATGCATGTACGAGTTTTAGGTCGTCTGCATCTAAAAGGGTTTTAGGTGACACTGATGTGGACGATAAGTCGCAAATATATACGAGAAATAGGGGACCTAGGACATTGCCCTGGAGTACTCCATTGGCAATATGGGATGGTTCTGAGACACCGTTTAGAATTTGAACTATACGTTGAGGCTTTTGGGGATAGGATTTGAGGAAATCGAGAAGAGGAGTTAATTCCACAGTTTTTTGGATTTATTATTAGTCTTGTTTGGGGGTTTTGTCAAAGGCCTTTCTTAGCTCGAAGGGTATTGTAGCTACTGTGTTTCCGTCATCTCTATTGCCGGAGACAAATTCCAGAGAAGTGGGATGGCGGGACTGACACGACTTTTTAGGTAAAAAGGCGTGATGGGAAGGAGGTAGGAGGTTAGCGTTTATCATACGGTCTATCATTTGGTTGTAGATTACTCCTTCGATTATTTTCACCATCACCTCTATTTAGTGAACACCGTGATAACCTTCGGTATCAGATCGGTCTTCATTTTTGAAGATCGGTGCAGTGCTCGCGTATTTCCAAATGTCTGAAACAATTGCACAACTGGGCTGGAGCGAATGGCCTAGAGAGGGCGTATTGGAGCATGTATGGCATGCTTCAGTGTGCACGGTGGGATTCGATCCGTTCCGTAAGAAGAGGAGTTGGACAGTTGCCTGATAGCTCTTCAACAGTTTCCGCACTTAAACAGATCTCACTAAAGGTGCATTTTGTCATATCCGTCGGTTGAAGCATTGGTTCTTCTTCGACCGGAGAAATGGTTGAGAAATATTTATCAAATAACCTTGCTAAGTAGTTGTCGTTTGTTATTACTTGTCCTGAGTCATCGATCATAGTTTGGGGTCCTGACTTCCGATGATTATTCATTTGTTTCTGAAAGGTTTCAGCTGTTTGTTCGGGGGGATCCTAGTGCCCAGTCTTCTCCTGCTATGGCATTTTGCTAGTATTTTAGTAAGTAGGTAGTGAATTCCTCTAATTCGTCGGAATGTGGATAAATAACTTACGGGGAGGACGCGTAGTTTTTTGGTTCTTTAAGTTTATTGGAAAGACATTTCGGAAATTATTGCTTCTTGCACGAGAGGCTGTCGTCTCGAATTGAAAGTAGGGAAGTGTATGAGAGGTTAACTGCTCCCATGGGAGATTTTAGAAGCAATGAGCCCCAGTCCAAGAACTAATGTCGTTGTTGATAGAGTCCTTGTAAAGTTTTTTTTTTGGATTTATGCGAGTGCCGTAAATACTATCTTTAAAAGGAACTACTTCTACCGGGCCTTCGGTTTTGAGAGTGATTGACTAATCTAAGCTTCAAAACGCATTTGGTTGTTTTACAAAGAATCTCAATGCCGGATTCGAATTGAATCATTTCATTCACCTTTCTATCTCTTATGCACCAGCGGCCCTCCCGGATCTGTCTCATGAATAAAGAAGGTATATGACACAGAGACTGATAGGACATGAAAGATGGAGACCTGTATCGGTGACAATACTCATGCTTGTTTTTGAGCAGAGCGTGGGTTGGTTGTGATCGAATTGTTGTGAGCCAAGAGATGTAAAATGAAAACAGTGTGAACATCAAACCTACTTTCCCTGAACTACACACATACGCTTTAACAGTGGGGATACGCTGGGGCATCTGAAGTGGGTGGCATTAGTCAGCGTCTACATTCGCTCTGCATGCGCTATAAGGCTGGTTCCGATGACCGACGCGTTATTTCTTTCGGCATTCCATCAAGTCTGCGCCTGTTCTATTGGACATTCTCCTCTCTTTGTGGATTTTCATACGCTTCAGAATGGCTTTTATTTATCGCCTTTTTCCCTGCCTTGTGTGCAAGCACTCTGCAAAGAAAATTCACTACAGTCTCCCGGGCTCTCCTCATGATTTATTCGCTTCAATGCGATTCATGAAAATCGAGCAGTCGTTTGCTCTACCGGCTCCGCTTACGCAACTTCACGTGCCTTAGTATTCTTTCCTGACCTCTGTGCATGTCCCGAGCATTGATCCCCGTACAGGAGAACAATAACGACTGAAGCACTTTATGTCTGGGGTCTTATGTGGAAGGGGATGCTGAGAATATTCCACTCCAAGTGTTGCAGCCTGTCGAAAAGCCGGCTGATTTTGGGGATCTGACTGGCAGTTTTGAGTTCGAATTTGACGTTCATGGAGGTGGTACTGCTGAGGTACAAAAACTGGTCAACAAGGATGAGGCAATCGTCATTAACTTTTGCTTTTGGTCTACTTTATGTCTCAACTAGTGTCGACTGATAAATGGCACCTACTTCTCCGATGCCCCTATTCTCCCTGACATTCGAGAAACCACGTCAAAGAAACCACAAACAGAGAGGGCAAGGAAAAGAGATTCAACAAACCAATGTCTGGTGTTAGCAGAGGGCACGAAAATATCATGGTTTTTCATGTGGCCCAAAAAAATAGGCAAGGCCAGGGGCGAACGGATAAAATATAGAAGCAGACAAAACTAACGAATATTGAATAGGTTGATACTGTAACCGCATCGTCAGGTAATTTGTTCATCCGAATTAACGGACCATACTGAATTCTTGGATTTTATCGCGGTTTATAAGACACGAATGACTGGTAGGGGGACGCGGCCCACTCGGTTGTTAACCCTTTCCTGTCTAAACCAATGGCTGCAAAGTAGATTGTGGATGTGAATAGGTCGAGTGCGTGAGACTGGAGAAACAGCGTTTTAGAAGGCACCATCAGGCTACGAATAACAATGCGCTTTGATCTTTCGCCCTGCACAACACAGAATTATTATAACGATAACTATACAAAGGAAAAGGCCAGCAGATTATGTCGGCGAAGGGATTTTTGGAAATGAGGTCATTTATAAATGCCTTCATACATTTCCGAAAAGGTGCTTTGGTTGCAGCGGAGTAATTATTATGTCGGCGGTATTGGCGCTGTGCATATGCTAAGTTCAGGCGGATGTCATTTAGCAGACAATGTGACTTCTAGTCATTAACCACGGAATGTCAGTAACTGATTCAGTGCCAAAAACTAGCATGGTCAATCTGAAAGTGTTTGGGATTACGTCTGCTTCAGTATAATCTAGAATATATGGGAGGTGAACACAGCCTTGGAGAACACAATTTGCAGTTATACGGATAAAAATCGGACACTTTTTGTGTAACAACCAGATAAAAAAGTGAAAATTAATCAAGCCCTCATGCAAATTTCTCAGGATCTTCCGCCAAAACAACCGGACAAGGCAA